TACTTTACCGTACTAATACCCGTAACTCTTAACTACGGTAGTATAAGGTACTAAAACGGAAAGTTACCAACGGATTTACTAACTACTTACGTACTACTACCGTCTCAATGGTGATAGTCAAAAACGATCAGGATTTACATCTTTCGACAACCGTCTCAATGGTGATAGTCAAAAACGATCAGGATCTAAATCTTTCGACATCCGTCTTAATGGTGATAGTCAAAAACGATCAGGATTTACATCTTTCGACATCCATCTCAATGGTGATACTCAAAAACGATCAGGATTTACATCTTTCGACATCCGTCTTAATGGTTTGCACTTTTCGCCCATTTGTTTAGAATTACACAGAATAGATATTTTTATTCATTGACCATTATTTACATGGATAAAATAACTTAGATCACGAGGGCGCGGGACCTGGGGGTGCTGAGGATACTGCAGCACCCACCGGCTTGACAAATGGGATGCTGCACATACATGATTCCCATCATTTACAGGAGATTCGATTTTGTTCGGCGTGGTGGATATAGCACTCAACTAACAATCTGTGGGGTATCGGTTCGAATCCAGTCCCCCGAACATACTCACCCTTTCAGCCACTGTTCATTGATAAAGAGTAGCCCAAGAGTTGGAGGTGGGTGGAGTCGACTGGTTACCTCTCTCTGGACAATCACTTCAAAATTAGGGACGGCTAGTGTGGATAACCCTTGAGTAACGTTTCACGAAATTCAAAACAAAGAAACAAAGAAATCAATTTTATTCAGTGGTTTTCAACACCCCACTACAAAACTTGTTAGAGAGTCAATGTTAACTCAGTCTTAAATTGGAAAGAGATAAACAGAATTACTTTGAACAGGGAGAAAATTTTCAACAATCAAGAAAGATTTGGTACAAATTAAAATCTATTAAATGTCAAAGATTTTGAAATCATTTTTATTAACGTAAGTTATGTTACAAACGGAAGGGCGAAATGGGGGAAATACATAATTTCAGATACAGAAAAAATTTGTTAAAACCTTTGAAATTTTTTCTTTTTTTTTCTTTAGGAAAATGAACGAAGTATCTCTATCTGACTTTTAAATGATCAGTCAGTAATTTTCTCTGCTGGAAACTCTGCTTGCACAAGTATTACTGCAATAATCCATGTAATGATCAAGTTTTACTTAAACTGTCTTAATAATTGCAATTATAAACACGTGTGTGGAGCATCTTTCTAAATATTTCATGAAATGAAAAATTTGTATGTTAACTTGTTTGTGTTTGTTGAATTTAGTGTAAAACTCTGGTCTTTTTTGTTTGTTTGTTGAATTTCGCGTAAAACTGGTCTTTTTTGTTTGTGTTTGTTGAATTTCGCGTAAAACTCTGGTCTTTTTTTGTTTGTGTTTGTTGAATTTAGTGTAAAACTCTTGGTCTTTTTTTGTTTGTTTTTGTTGAATTTAGTGTAAAACTCTTGGTCTTTTTTTTTGTTTGTGTTTGTTGAATTTAGTGTAAAACTCTGGTCTTTTTTGTTTGTGTTTGTTGAATTTAGTGTAAAACTCTGGTTCTTTTTTGTTTGTGTTTGTTGAATTTCGTGTAAAACTCTGGTTCTTTTTTGTTTGTGTTTGTTGAATTTCGTGTAAAACTCTGGTATTTTTTTTGTTTGTTTTTGTTGAATTTAGTGTAAAACTCTGGTATTTTTTTTGTTTGTGTTTGTTGAATTTAGTGTAAAACTCTGGTATTTTTTTGTTTGTGTTTGTTGAATTTAGTGTAAAACTCTGGTCTTTTTTTGTTTGTGTTTGTTGAATTTCGCGAAAAAATTTGAAGAAATATCTACTGTAACCGTCTCTCATTTTGAAGTGAAGACTAAAGGGAAGACAGCTGGTAAATACCACCTACCATAAACTCCTGGGAAGACAGCTGGTAAATACCACCTACTACCAACTCCTGGGAAGACAGTTGGTAAATACCACCTACTACCAACTCCTGGGAAGACAGCTGGTAAATACCACCTACTACCAACTCCTGGGAAGACAGTTGGTAAATACCACCTACTACCAACTCCTGGGAAGACAGCTGGTAAATACCACCTA